TTCCTCCCAACTGCTCTATCTTATTACCTAAACTTTTATTTATTATTAAGAGCCAGGGTCTCACTCTGTTACCCAGGCTAGAGTGCAGTGGTACAATCATAGCTCACTGCAGCCCTGAACTCCTGTTTTCAAGTGATCCTCCCACCTCAGCCTTCTGAGTCACTGAGATTACAGGTGTGAGCCACTGTGCCGACCCTATCATTTCTATATCTCCAATTTCCTTCTCAATTCTAAAACTTCTGAATCTACTATCCATCAGTCTATACTTTAAAAGTAACATAGAACTAGTGGTTAAGACAAATTTAGAGGTCAGAGGAGATGACTTAATCTAAATCTCATCTCTGGAATTCAGCAGGATTCGTAAGCAGTAAATAAGAGCTCCCAAAAGACTCCCCAAGACTCAATATGTCAGGCAGATACCACAATTCCTTAAGCTTTTATGGTTATATCAGAAGCAAATTTCTGCTAAGTATGTGATGTGCCTTACAGTATATATTAACACAGCAAATATTTTAAGAAATGAATCTCCCCCAACTCCCTGACATGCAACATACACACCCAAGTGCACACACAGTGTTTACTTTTTTGAGCAAAGTATGAACAAGTTTTGGGAAAACTTTACAGGAATTACAGCTTGTTTACTGCTGCTGGAAACAGAAAAGCATGTCGGGTCTTCTTAGAAGGAGACCCCCTTGAGACACTACTGAAATTGGTTTCTCTGTTTCAAAACCATTCTTCTGATCCGCTCAGTCCCATACCCCTTCCTACCAAAATCCTTTGTTACAGCTCAACCCTGAAATCAGAATGTGGTTCCTAATTCAGGACACACTTGGGGTGTTTGAATTTGCATAACCATGTCAGAAAATCTTTCCTGTAAGGACATGTACTGGCCTCATGGCATATTTTCGTTAATGTCACACTAAAAATGTTTTCCTGCAGTGCAGAGGCAGCCCTGTCCATTAGAAAACGGGTCATTTGGCTTCCCTGCTGTGCTCTCCACCATCAGGGAGAAGGCAGAAATGACTCAACATTCAGCATGGACTAAAATGGTCTAGAAATCTATTTTTCAAGGCAAATGCCAGGACCCTGATAGCTACATTAGACTTTATACATATCTACAAGATAAGCACATTCATTATGAAGCTATCAACTGGAGCCAAGTAGTTAAAATGGGTTATGCACTGGGCACATGGTATTTTATAATGCTTTCCAGATATGCTTCATCATAAACAAGGCAGACAGTAAGATAAAAAAATTGGCAATATCACCTTAATTGTACACAAAGAATAAATATTGAGCATTGCATCCCATGGCTCTCTAACAATATTTAGGTTTGCCAATTTAGCAGAGAATTTTAGCCTTGCGATTTTGCTAACTACCATTTATTAGGCTCTAAACCAAAGAGGTGAGGAAAGTAGACTCTACTATTCCTATCAGAATGGAAGGTAAAGGTCCTTTACACTTTCGTATGTGCACAGCAGGTCCCAAGCTATTGAAACTGAGATTCTTGAATGCACTGGTTGTCTCCACATGATTTTTGTGACAGGTAGTGGATTGTTTCCTCCATCAGAAGTGATCAAAGGCATAGCTCTAAAAATTGCCCTTTTCCTGAAAATAACAATATATACCTGTTAAGAGGAAGAAATTTTTCCTGGGAAAGATGTCTATGTAGGCCTTTGCCTAATTTTTAATTGGTTTGTTATTCTGCTATTGAGTTCCTTGTATATTTTGGCTATTAACCCCTTAAGGGCTATGTATTTTCTTCTAATCCATAGGTGCCCTTTTCATATTCTTGATTGTTTCCTCTGCTATGCAGTGACTTTTTACTTGTAGTCTCTCTTGTTTGATTTTTGCCTACGCTACACTGTTAGTGTTAGATCCAAAGAAATCCTTGCCAAGACCAATGTCATACAGCATTTGCCCTACAGTTTCTTCAAGAAGTTTTATAGTTTTAGGTATTACTTTAAGTCTATAATCCATTTTTAGCTGATTTTTATGTATAGCAAAAAATCCAATTTCCATTTTTGTATGTGGAAATTCAGTTTTCTTAATGCCATTTATTGAATGCCATTTATTTATTACCTTTTCACCATTGTGTATTCTTTTTTTCTGACCATCAACTCCCAATTTCACCACTTCTTTTTTTTTTATTTCAGCATATTATGGGGGTACAAATTTTAAGGTTGCGTATAATGCCCTTGCTCCCCTCCCCCCACAAGTCTGAGCTTCAAGAGTGACCATCCCCCAGATGGTATGCATCTAACTCATTATGTATGTACATACCCGCCACCTCCTCCCCCTCACCTGCCCAATACCCAATAAATGTAATTTCTATGTGTCCACTTAGGTGCTGATCAGTTAATACCAATTGATGGCTTCATCAGAGATTAATTATTGACCACATATGCATGGGTTTATTTCTGGACTTTCTATTCTGTCCCATTGGTCTATGTCTTTTTATTCCAGTACCTTATTGTTTTGAATACTCTAGTTTTGTAATATAATCTGAAGTAAGGAAGTGTGATGCCTCCAGTTTGTTCTTCTTGCTCAAGATTGCTTTAGCTATTCCAGAACTTTTGTGGTTCCCTATAAATGTTAGAATTATTTTCTCTATTTCTGTGAAAAATGCCATTGGAATTTTGGCAGGAACTGCACCAAATCTGTAAATTGCTTCTTGTATGGACACGAATGACAAGTTTTTGACAAGCTGCTCAACATCACTAATCATCAGGGATATATAGATCAAAACCGTGTGACTTCACCTCACACGTGTGACGCTGTCACCAGGATGGCTATTACCAAAGTCAAAAACACGCATTGAGGATGTGGAGAAAGACAAGCCCTTGTGCCTTGTTAGTGGAAATGTGAACTGGCATAGCCATTATGGAAACAGTATGAAGGTTCCTCAAAGCATTAACAATAGAACTACCATATCATCCAGCAACCCCACTTCCTGGCATAGAATCATGCGTCACTTAACGACAAAAATACATCTGAGAAATGCATCCTTAGGAAATTTTTTGTGTGTGGACATCATAGAGTGTACTTATACAAACCTAGATGGTATAGCCTACTACACACCTAGGCTATATGGTATAGGCTATTGCTCCTAGGCTACACACCTGTACAGCATGTTACTGTACTGAATACTGTAGGCAACTGTAACACAATGATATTTGTGTATCTAAACATAGAAAAGGTACAGTAAATATACACCATTACAATCCATGGGACCACCACTGTATATGTAATTCATCGTGGACTGAATATTATGCAGTGCATAGGATGCACAAAGGAAATAAATCACCATATCAAAGGCAATGCACATTCATTGCAGCATTGTTCCCAATAACCAAGATATGGAAATAACCTAGTGCCCATCAATGGATAAAGAAATTGTGATATATATATGATAGAATATTATTCAGCTTTAAAGAGATAACTGCCGTTTGCAACACATGGACAACCTGCAGAACATTAAGCAAAGTGAAATAAGCCAGACACAGACAGATACTGCATAATCTCACTTATACCTTGAATCTAAAAAAAGTTGAATTCATATAGAGTAGAATGGTGTGAGGAGAATGAAGAGATATTGATCAAAGGATATGAATGTGCAGTTATCAGATGAGTATGTTCTGGAGACCCAATGTACAGCGTGATGACTATAGTCAATAATAATATATTCTTGAAATTTGCTAAGAGAAATCTTCAGTATGCTCATCACAGAAAATGTAACTACATGAGGGAATGGATATGTTGATTAGTTTGATTTCAAGAGTTAAATATTTTCTATTTATAATATTTGGAAAGTTATTTTACTAGTGCAAAATAAATATGCAACATATATAAATAAAGACTAACATATTCTATTATTTGATGGTCACTACAGTTCCATCAGCATTACCAGGTAAACAATGAAATAATACATAATGAGTGGCATGTGCACCATCTGAGGGATGGTCATGCTGGAGACTCAGACTTGTGGGGGGAGGGGGGAAAGGGCATTTATTGAAACCTTAAAATCTGTACCCCCAGAATATGCCGAAAAAAAAAAAAGTCTGTTTGGATAAAGTGAATATAGCCATGCCTAAATGAAAGAAAACCTATTAAAAGCATTCTGAGGATCACTTCAAGGATATAACTATGTATCTTGATCTACTTGGTTCATTCTCCACTAATTTGCAATTAATGATCTAAATAGGTAACAAGCCCTTGGAAGACACAGTGTGTCAGCCTCTATGGCAAAAGAAGCGAGTGCTGTTCTAGAAGTGCTCCCATCAGAAGACCAAAACAGAGAAAGCTGCTCCAGCTCCCAGGTACTCTTGTGAGCACAGGGATCTAGACCTGACGCCCTCCCTCCACCGCCCAAGCCGCCGTTCCTTCCCGACGGAGACTCACGTGCGAGCTGCACGCTCGAGGCCCGCCTCTAAGCTGAAGCGCGCGCTCGCCGCTCAGCCGCTCGTGAGCGCCGCCGCCGCCGCCTCCGCCGGCCTTCGTGTGCTCGACCTGCTCCCCTCACCGACCCGCACACTGCACCGAGGTGACTGGGCGTAGAGATAAACCGAACGCTCTGAGACCTGCGGCCGCCCCTTCCCGGGACGGCTCGCCAAGCGTCCTGCGCCCGCCGCGAAGGCCGGCTCCGCCCTGAGGTCCCGGCTCTCGTCCGCCGGGAAACTCAGAGGCAGATCGGCGGCGCGGCCGGACATGGCGCTGGCGCCAAGCCCGTGCCGCGCGTCCCAACGACCGGGACACTGCAGTCCCTCTGCCTCCCTTTGTGTCGCTGAAGAAAACGCTAAATTGCTAATACCTGTTGTTAGGATACATGACTCCTATGTCTGACGTGAAGACATTTCCTGAAAAACGTCCCTTTCAGGCCAGACTCTGTCAGACCGCGCCACCCCTCGAGGGCCGGCGAGCCCGCGCGCCAGGCGGCTCCCGACGCCGCTTCCCGTGTGACGAGGGAGCTGGAAGAAACGATTTAATGTGCAGCCAGAACCCGCAGCTTGTTAGAATAAAGCTTCATGCCCCTTCACCATGCTCAAAAAAATCTAACTGGGAAGCCGTTGGACTGGGCTGGCTCTGGCACTTTCAACTCCTTTGTGAACTGAGGCCCAACGTAGACAGCAAACCGAACCTAGAAACTGCCCCTCCGGAATCACATCCGACCTGCAGCCGGGAACTCTGCCAGCCAGCGGCGAGCTGTCTTCGTCTTGCAGCGACTTTAGAGCGGCGCCCTGACCCACGGCTTTATTTCCCATGGGTTCAGTTACCCACAGTCGACTGGGGTCGGAAAACATTAAGATTTTGAGAGAGAGACAATTCAGGTAACTTTTATTATAATGTATTGAAAATTATTCTATTTTATTATTAGTTGTTAATCTCTTACTGTGCCTAGTTTTTAAATTAAACTATGTATTAAAAACCATATATCGGGTTTGTTACTATGGGAGATTTCAGACATCCAATGGGGGCCTTGGAATGTGTCCCCCCCCCCAGATAAAGGAGGACGACAACTGTATAAAAATTTCCCTCTTGCCCCTGGCACCAGAGTGCTAGCCGCTTGTGGATTGGTGCTGCCCCAATTCATGAATCATTGAATGTTCAAATAAACTCTTTAAAATTTAGATTTGCATAGCTTTTATTTTAGTCAACCAGTAGAACACATAGCTCGGATTGAATTATAGTGTGTGATGTTTGAACAAAATTGCCGTTTCTGAGTAGGAAGTACAAAACAGATTCACTACTTCATATATAAACTTTTAAAAAGCTGAACACTGTATTAGAAATGTTAACTAAAGTTTTAGACTGAACTCAAACTTGAGATCTAGGAGTTAAGATCATGACTATCTCTTAATAAAGCATCACAATAAAACTTCATAAAATAAGAACCTAATTTCTACCTCAAACATCTAAAGAGTTCTAAAATGAAGAAATAAATTGCAAGTAATGGGACCCCTATTCCTAAAGATGCAATTATTAAAAAAAACAAAGAACTTATGCCTGACTTAGGTATTTAACAAGCCCAGAACTGGGTGGATCCAGGGCTCCACACGCCATGGAGACAGACACCTTTTCTTTCCTCTTCTGTGTGGTGACTGTACTTTCAGGTGGGCTTTCCCAACAAGGTGAGAAAGGTGTCAATGACAACTTCAAGGGCCACAGATTACCAGCTCCTTCCTCAGCAGAAAGAGGGCACCTTTTCCTGACACTTTCAGGAAAGATCCAGGGAGGACTGAGTTAGCCAGGCCAGAGTGGGACATGGCCCTGTCCTCTCCAAACCACCTGAGCCAAGGGCAAGCAAGGTTATGATCTTCGAAAGAGAAATCAGGTCCTACCATCAAATAGACAAAATAGCTGATTTTGATTTCCCCTAAAATTCCTGGATAACAACATGAAAAGTCCTAAGTATTTGAAACCAGTCTTCTACAAATATCATGACAAAGAATGGAAGATTTATTTAGCCATGCAGCAGAACATAGAAAAGCCTGTTTTAACAGTTTGATTGAGATGTAATTCACATACCATACAATCCACTCATTTAGAGTATATAATGCAATGGTTTTTAGTATACTTACAGAGTTATACAACCATCACCACAATCAATTTTAGACCATTTGCATCACCCCAAAAGAAATACCATTAGCAATCATTCCCATTTCCTCCCTCTCCACAGCTTCTGGGAAAAATCTACATTTTTATTGATATATAAAAAAATTGCACATATTTAATATATGTAATTTGATGATTCTGGACATATGCATACATCTATGAAACAACCACAATCAATAATACCACTTCTGAAAATTTCTACTCAACCCTTTGTTTTTTGTTATTTTGGGGGCAGTGGGGGTGGGTTCTGATAAAAACACAAAAATGAGATCTATCCTTTTAAACTTTTAAGTGCACAATACAGTATTAACTACAGGCACTATGCTGTACGGGAGATCTCTAGAACTTATCATGCATAACTGAAACCTTATACCCACTGAACAACTCCCCATTTCTTACTCCCTCAGCCCCTGGTAAACACCATTTTATCCTCTGCTGTGAGTTTGTTTTAGATAACTTCATAAGTGGGAGCACACATTCTCATACCTCACATGAGGCAAGGATTTAGGGAGGTTCTCTCATCTAGAACTGCAAATATGAATGGCCCACCCACAAGAATTAAATCTGATAGAAAATTATCTGTAGAATTTAATTGTCTGTTAATTATAAATTACAACTAGCCAAAGACATTTCTTCTCCTATGTCTTTAGCTATAAATTATGTTATTTAGCTTGTGTTATTTAGTTTTGTACCTATTTTAAGACAAGCACTATGCTTGATCTGTCCTTTTTCTCTCATGTAATACTTTCTACTACAATATCTTGGGGCTATTTATTATTTAATAGATATTTATTGATCTGCCTTAGTCTTTAAGATCCTGGAAAACAGCTGCATTTTGCCAGTGCTGCAACTCCTGAACAGCAAAACCAACGAACTATGGTCGTATGCACTAAGCCAGCCCACTCCACCGATGATAATTCTTTCAAAACAACTTATGTAATCACCCTCAGAATCCTCCTAAAAATCCCTACTTCCCTACCTATCTTTGAACACAATTTGGCTTCTAGCCTACCTGTGTCTCTCAAATTGAGATTCCTAAGACCCCAATAAATGCCTTGCCTTACCGCAATGCAGTCTGGTTTCTTTTTGGTTGACAGGCTCCACAGATAAGAGAAACTATGTGAGGAAGGGAGCAAACTTTGTCAGTATAGTCACATCTGCATTTTAAGAATTATTTATGTCTTCCTTCAAAAAATAAAATGATTACTTTCTCTTCAGTTCACACATTTGTTTCTTGAAAGTTTGGAGGCTGTTTACAAGACAAAAGTTTAATGCATTCTTACTTGTTTTTGATGTCACTTTAATAGTATTGGGAGCAAAATGCCAATTGTACTTATATTTTATAAGTGGTTTCCATTAAGACAGTAACAACTACAGAACATTTTATTTGTCATTTTTGGTCTAATACCTTTACAATATATACCTAGCATTATAAAACAGTTATTTAGCAAATTATTTTTACTCCAAAGTGGTTTTGCAAATGCTTCCTCGTATTTTTCTAAAACTCACTATTACCATTTTCTCACTTGACTCTCAATGGAGATCTAACTTTCTCTCTTCAGGAAATCAAGTTTAGATCAATGAGTCTGTGACTCACTATTCTAATTCACTTGTGAAAATTAAGGCTAGAATGTAGAATGATCAAATCATAAATTCTTTTTTTCCCCTCAAAAACTCAGAAAACCATATCAAAAGGCCAATGAATTTGTACTGCTAATATAGGTTGGACTCTTCATGCCAGTCTATATAGATGACAATAATGCTGCCTAGAACATTGATAAGCAACATGGGCTCAAGGGGCCTCATGACTTTAGAGCACGGGAAAGGACACCCTGTCTAGAATCTACTCCTATGCAGTTTGAAACTTTCCATAAGACATAATCCTTCAGCCAAAGGCCTTGGATGATGAGAGGAAAACAAACCCCTTGAGACCAGTTGAAGAAGGAAGAAACTAAAAGGGGAGTTAAGACTGTAAAGTACTTCATTCCTCCCACTTAGGCCAACTCTGACTGCCCCTTTCTTTATATCCATGAAAAGAAATCTCAAATAGCCAAGTACAAGAATTGGGGGGCTATGTTCATAAAACAAGATTTCACTAAAACAGTACAGGAAAATGGCAGTACCATGATATTAAACTTTATTACACATTTTAACTTTCTTTCCAATAAATTACATGGAATTACAATTTATATAGATAGGCAGGTATATAAATAGATATAATCTTTAAAAACACCTTCTCATCTGTCCTAGGAAACATTTTTACTTTTAGCTTCTGTTTTCTTCCCCTTACCAAACAGTGCCAGTTATTATGGTCCTGTGCATTGTTCTGCACCAGCAAGTTGAACAGTTGACAAATGCAATTGGATTATTAGAAATCTTATTTTCCCTTGATTATATTACAATCTCCAACCCATGTCTCTGGATATGTCATTTAAATGAGTTTGATTAGAATTCTAAGGGTCATAACCTGTGAATCACATTCCTACTTCCAAAACATGAGTGCAAACGAGTTAAACACTGAAGTCTACTTCTAAAACATCATCAGTAACGCAGTGAACAGCCAAACACCATAGAAAACCATAATCGATCTCACTATTCAACATTGTTCCATGTAAAAATGAAATATTCAAGAACACAATCTATCCCGATGTGGCCCTTATTAAACTAATGCAGCCTATTACCGAGGGGCATTCTGATAGGTAAGAGAAAAGCGAATCGAGTCACTTATTCAAAAAGTTATATGAAGCACATTCTATTCCATATGGCTTTTCCAAATATATCCTAAATTTGAAAAGAACAACCCATTCATTTAGGTGATTTCCATCATATTTAAGAAGTTGTATGAAGAAATGCCCTAAGGAAGCTGCTTTTAAAGTTTTTAAACCAAGTACCTCTATTTGTTCTCACCAGAATACTAATTATAAAATCTGAAATTTGCTATGTTCCAAGAACTCTACTAATATGCATCTTATATAAGTAGTTGCAACATAGACCACGTGTCCTACAAAGCCAAAAATGCTTCCTGTCTGGCCCTTTACAGGAAAAGTTGCCGCCCCGTCCCACACTAAAACTGAAGACTTTTTAAGATCCTACCTGCTGCATTGCTTTGTTGAATGTTAGCATATTCTGTTACTAAACACTAAAGTTATAGCATTTAAATTCTGCAGCTGAAATTTACTTATTAAGAATCAACAATCTCCTGTCATCTCTCAAATTACACATTGCTCACACAAAAAAATGTTTACACACAGCCCTTCCCTCTTCTGTACTGTAAACCTACCTTTTAGGGACCCTGTGATGTAGGTCTCATACGCCTTTTATAAGAAAGTATACGACCACCTTGGAGCTATTGCAGCTGTTTCCAATTACCTAACTAAATGATTAGACAATCACATTTTAAAGTCTGTTTTTCATCTATGTAGCTAGTAAATAAAGCTCTAAATTTTAGCCACTAATCTCACTTGAAGAATAGAGCTACATTCATGTTTGTTCCATGGAAGCAGCAGGTTTCTGGCCCAACAAGCCCTTAGAAGACAAAAGGCCAGCACTAATATCTTGCAGCAGTCCCCAAGGACCAGTTTCATGGAAGACAACTTTCCCGTGGTTGGCGGGGTGGGGGGGAGCTCTGTGGCCTGGTCCCTAACAGGCCACGGACGGTGCCCAGCTGTGGCCTGGGGAATTGGAGATTGCAGCTTTATGGGACTGAGGTAGCACA